CCTTCTCAGATATGCAATTTAATGACCATTACATGTTGCCATTGAATTTTTAATATTTGTGTAACACTGTGAATACTTGTATTTGTAACAGCTTGTGCGAGTTTTACCCTGTTATCATTCTTTTCATTGTAAATGCGTTGATGCCTGGTTACTGAAGCGAAGAACATGCCCTCTTTGTAAATTTAACATTATTGGTGAGTAAATATCAGTTAGTACAGTGGAAACATTGAAGAAACATACCGTAATAACAATGGTGGCATCAACATTTCCCTCACGGTTGGTCCACACCTACCTCATAGCTGAGGTGGAAACATTGTGATTTGTCAGGCGAGACTGTTTTGTTTTTTAAAGATCGCCAGTGGAGGGCGGAAAAAAAAATAAATATAACATTTTTTAAAAAATTTTTTTTATTTTTTTGAGAAAATAACATTTTATTTTTATTTGCAATCATTATTGGCAGGCAGCGGGTTTGCTAAACAAGGTATAAAAAAAGGCTCAGCTCTCAGACCAACTTTCTCTGACTTAGAAAAATTATTCAAATTACTTTCCACTGGATTATTAATATACTAATCACTTAAACAATGGAATTACTTCCTTAATATCTTTATTTTCTTTCAATCCCTAGAACACAAGATTAAGTCCTGCAGTTCAAGTATACCTCAGGATTTGTGATATTGCAGATAATTATAGTATTTAGTATACCTATATAATTAAAGTATTTTGTATACATTATCTTATTGTAAGGTCTGATTTCAATAAATTATTGAATTCAGTTTTGCCACAATAAATACATTTAATAACATCATAAAATAGAGTAATTTTTTGTATTTTTATTTTTCAATTGTTTCTGTCTCTGACAAAGGAGAGTGGTAATACTATCGAGCATGGTAGAAAAATAACTTGAGATGCCAACATTTAAACATGAAACAAACAAAAGAGAAATACAAAAACAGTATTAAAAACAATGTACACCTCTGTATCAATTTCAATCTTTAGGTAACTCTTTAAAACTATTTATTAAAAATTCTATGGCAACATAATATTCATAATTCTATTTTTTTTTTAATTACTGTACAATCTAACTTTAACAGAGAATATTCAGTTAACCACCATACGAAATATGTTACCAAGTGAATACAGGTAGCTCATGAGTTGCTTGGTCAAATGTTCACACCTTTTACCTCAATAATAATAAAAAAAATTAATATACTCAACATCAAACATAATAATTCTGAATAATGAGTTGCACCTGAACAATAAAAAAAACACTTACATTTATTTAAAAGAATATTAATACGCTTATATTTATTTGAAAGAAAAAGTAATACACTTGTATTTATTTAAAACAAAAAGTAATACAGACTTAAAATCAATGAATTTGCATATTTTAACAATACAGTAACATATTTCATTAGCAGGTTGAAAAAATTCATCAATTAGTTGGCAAGATTCTCTAACACGGTGGGTCGCAATTAAGCACTAACACCCTGCTATTACATACACATGCGGGAGTGGGTAACTAGGGAAAATGAACTTTGAATTTAGAAAATTCTATGCACAATTCCATAATCTATCTATGGTTCTTACATTAATATGCATCAAATATTTTCTGCCATAATACGTACAAGTTTCATTTAGTATATTTTTGCAGCTTTCGCACATAATCACTTGAGCAATGAATAACAATACAATGTTTTGATAATCATAAGTTGATTTCCTATTCAACTTTGAGCTAAGTTCCATTCTTAAATCCATTTGCTAATGTAAACCTAAAATTTTATTTTTTTAATTGGTTGTGGTGTAGGGTGTATACTTATCTACTGTATATCTATATTTGGCTTTGAAATCGGTTCTCATGTTGACTTCCAGTTCAACTTTGAGCCTAGTTCCATCCATAGATCCATTTGTTAATATAAATATCCTAAAATTCTAATCATTGATTGGTTTTGTTGAACTGTAGGCTTTTAAATCGGCTCTCATAAGTTGACTTCCAGTTTAACCTCGAGCCTAGTTTCATCCCTAGATCCATTTGATAATGTAAACACCCTAAAATTCAAATCATTGATTGGTTGTGTTGTAGGCTTTGAAATCGGCTCTTATAAATTTGAATTTCAGTTTCACTTTGAGCCTAGTTTTATTTAATAATGTAAACACCTTAAAATAATTTTAATCGTTGGTTGTGATTTAGGCGGCGAGTTTTAGTTTTTTACTTTGAGCCTAGTTTCATTCCTAGATCCATTTAATAATGTAAACACCTTTAAAATCCAATCATTGATTGGTCGTGTTGTAGGGTGTAAGGTAAAACACTTAGAAAACAGCTTGAGAGTTATCACAAGATGTTAGCAAGGTTAATATTTTTCACATATTTATGAGCATTCATGGTGTCTAATATCAGTTTGGCACTATACATCAAGGAAGCACAACATTTAATGATAAAACAAATTGGTGGGATGGAAATATAGTACTTGGACTGCTGGAATAAATGGTACAGTAATAGTAATGTGAACTTTATAATAATTAGAAAAGCAACATTTAAAATGGCTTGACAACAACTCAGTTTGGCCCCATCCTGTAGTATACTATTTGATTTTTTTTGCAAATAATTATACCTGACATGATGAACATTGTTTAGAGAGTTGTATAACAGACAAGATTAAAATGCACAAGAACTGGTCAAAAAAACAATTTGCAAATAAGTCAATAACTATTCAATAATTCAAAAATTAACCATTGTCCAAGGTGGAGAAAATCTAGTAGGGTAGCCACTGTGGCATCAAAAGCCGTTTAAATTAAGTACATGGTTGTTAAACTTTCTCAAACACACAACAGGTATGTATATAAATTACACAGCTGGTTAACTCCAAAGAATACTTCAAGATCAAGAGCTTCATTTACCAAACAATTCTATTCAATATAACAGTGGCCTAGGCAAGCTAACATATTTAGCCATTTAAAGGGCAGCATGTTGGCAGTCTTGCCATTTACGTGGCACGAATCTTCACAGTGACGCACAGAAAGCTCAACCAATCTTTGGGAGTGATCACTTCTCCATCACGTTCATATATAGCCAGTTCCTCTATAACTCTGCAATTACTCTTGCAAATCTTGTATCACATTCAGAAGTTCCTGAAGTCTGATCACTCTTGCATCGCCTGCCGTACACACGCAGCCAGGAGTTCTTCTATAACCTCTCCATCAGTATCTTCATCAATGTTGATTTCCTGAAAGCAAACACAATCCAAAGTAGATTGGTTGATTGTATTTCACCATCATTGCCTAGTATCTTGTTAAAAGTTTCAAAGATAACTTACATTAAGTAAGCACTTTAAATATTCAATTTTATTACCGTATACACTTGTTTTCTGTTCAACGCAGACAATTATATTAAATAAATCAATATTTTAAAAATAAACTGAGCAACAAGATTTCACATTGATACTTTATCTGACAAAGATTCTGAAAAACAAAAATATTTTTAAAATCTAGTGATTATGGATACCATCACACCACAATTGACATTTGGAACCACCATCAGCTGTTGAGAATATTTACCTCTTCATTGATAGACTTCAGCAGCTGTGCTATCATCTTTCGTAGTGACGTCAGTTTTGTGGTTGCAGCCTCTGCCACTTTTTTCTTCTCAAAAGCTTCATGTTGGAATGTACCAACCAACTGAAAGTAGGGACAAAAAACGATGTTTGATTAAGTAAATGACCAAATGAGCTTTGACATCTTATTTGAGTGGGGACACTTCTTACAAATTACTGTTTTCTGTAATATACATCTATCTGAATTTTTACTACTGTAAATATATTGTTTAATCAGTGAAATATCATGGAATAAAAGGTATTCTTCATCATGAGCCATTACGTTTACAGTGCTGTATATAAAATATATGGTGAACAACATTGTTTCCAAGAATAAGTCGGACAATCTGTAATAATTTGTTAGCAATATGTACATACATCCCGTAGTCCCTTCTCGTAACTATCAAAGAACTGCTCCAACTTGAATTCACTAACTTCTTCCAAAGAAAGTTTATTGATGTCATCTTTTGTCATAATCCAATTCGGTGGCAAGAAGTATCGTAAACATTTCCTGATAATGACAATATATAAACATGGATTCTTTTAAAACAAATGAAATACATTTATAACATTTCTTCCAGTGTATCAAAGGACTATTTAACAGGGGGAAAATTTAATACTTTGAATACGACTAAAAAGTTCTTCCAATAATTAAATGCAATTAGAGAATGATTCTAGAAAAAATCTGAGGGCAGTGTGGATAGGGTAAATAATGTTATAATTTCTTTGTACAGATACACAACCACAGAGGCATCTCATATTTTCCTGTTTAATTCCAAGTTAAAAACTTGTGTTACCTATAACTAAGGGACATCTTATCAGCAAGAGCAGCTTTAGTAACTAGCTCATCAATTTGTTCCTTTGTGTATCCATGTTGTGTGGTGGTGGTGGGCATCATTGTAGTGTCGGCTTCTTTCGTATCAGCTTTCTCCTCATCATCTGATTTCGTTACTTTAACCACTTTCTTTGGTTCTTCAGTGGTTTTTGTTTTCTCAGGTTCTGATGCTTCCTTAACTAAATTGAGTCCCCTTTTCCCTAACTTCAAAACTGGCATTGCTTTGGAATTATCCTGCAAAACAAGCACAGATAACAAAATTCATGATAATACAGTAATTACTTATGAATATCATGATTTATCGACTGTTTAGTACAATTCTAGATAAATAATACTGTACTTAATTCAAATTATAATATATTTTCACTTCATAAAAATATGATCTTTTTCAATGAATAAAGCTTACAATTATTAAACAAATAAACAAAATGAAATTTATGCTCTCATACCTCTAAGAATCTTAATTGATCATCTGTCCTTTCATACCTAGAAAGAATAATAACCACAACAGTTTCAGGGAAACAAACTATGATGTGTTTGAGAAAATTAATTGATAAAAAGAAAACATTAAAATAAAAATATAAATAATAAAAATATAAATAATGATACCATAGCTTAAGTATAAATTACAATAATAAATAAGGAGAATGACTGATTATTACCATTTGTCAAATTTATCTTTTGGATAATCGTCAAACTTGACTTTTACTTTAGATTTACTGGAGTGCGTTATTATTCCAGAATGCCAAACACAATTCACATAGGCTTCAACTTTACAACCAATTTCTGCAATTGAAAAATCAAATTTCAGACAAAATTCAACCTTTTCATGTTATTCACAACATTCCTTTTCTCATCGTCTATGCCATTATCATATCTCTTCTTTCCCCTTCCTTCATCATTATTCATTTGCACATTATTTCCCCAATTTCTTCATCAATACTGCCTCTCACATTATTTCCACTTCATCAATACCTGTAATCCTATCCACAATACTTCCACAATCCTCATCCTCTCTCTCATCCTCGTATTAAAATAAACATTACCTTCAGCTTCTCCTTCACAACTGGAAATATTAGAAGAATCTACATCCTGCTGGATTTCTTTGATTTCCTTAATGCTCTTTGCTGGACTCTACAACATCAATAAAATTTATACTTATAGTTTAATAATAATATACACAATTTCATGCTTGCTCGGCTCAATATAAGCATACTGCACAGCAGACAACAGCTATCAATACAATGTTTCCAAATGAATTACATTAATGTTTCATATTTTTCGGGGACTAGGCCAGTGGTGTACTATACAGATACTGTATGTAGTGTAATTCAAACACTTTAAAGGCAGTTTGGCGCAGCAATATCCATCTAGGTTCTGAACCTCATTGTCAAGTGTTCGAACCATGCGCTGATCATTCTCGACGGCTATGCTTTGTTACCCCAGCTTGTTGTGAAGTGGCTCACACTGTTTCAGCCCTAGGTGCGAATATTTCATGGCTTATAAATTAATAAATATTGTGGCTGCCTCTTATCAATATTGATGTTACACCTGGCCTGAAATAACATAAAAAACTACTGTATACTATACTAGTTATAATGGACATTACATAAACTTTTTATACTGTATTTCACCCGTCCATTTCATATAGCTTTAAAATCAATGCAATGTTAACTTGAATCTTTATTACCTGTCTGATCTTTTCATTTTTCTTCTTCTTTATGGGTTCAACAGATTTTTCTGATTCATCCTAAAAAGAAACCAGTTCATGTGAAATCAATAGCCACATACTAAGACAAGGGGGCAAAAATGTTATGATGTTATTTTAATTCATTTCATTCCATTACATATCAATTGTACATTTATACCTCTTATTTACCTACACCAGAGGTACACCAGTGTACTTCCAAAAACATTTATACACTACATTTTAAAGGGTTTTTGCTTAGCTTTAATATTACATTTTACAGATAATTGGTGTCAGGCCAAAGATGTTTGGAGGGTTGCACACATTGGTTTCTAATTCATTTTCATGGGCTGCAAAAAAATCACTGTGTGGCCGCACTTTGCCCACCTGCGACATACACCGTGGGAACTTGTGACCCACTACTGGGAGATCTGGTTAATTAATCTATCTTGGTATATTAACTATCTTAATGCACATTACACGCAAATATTACAAATTTGCAGAAAATGGGTTAATTTCCGGGAGGTTTTTGCATGTTCACAGAAGTGCATGAGGCATGACAACTTCTTAAAAGACTTTCACAACTTGCAGCACAATTGTGACCCCTATGGCTTTAGTTGTAAATCACAATTATCATTAAATAGCACAGTTGTAAAATAAAATGTTTTACTTCTGACGTTTAACTGGAGAGCAAGACAGTTTTAAGGATACTTACATCACTTGATGATGTGCTTGTTGTATCATCCGATATCACATCGCGACTTCTTTTCAAGGCTCGACTTGCTGGCGAAACTGATTTCTATTAAAGAAAGGAACAAGTTAAGAATGTTGTTATTGGGATAATGGTTGTGGCTTCACAACCATTGCTGTGCTTTAGAGACTGTCTCCCTCTACATAGTATTATAATGCTGAAACATAGGTAAATGAATAGAACAAAAACTGCAGTGTGAAAAGTCAATAATTACAATAGTATTACATCCTTACTTTCGTTTGTGCCGTTTTTGATTCTTGTGATTTTCTACTGTTAACTTGAGTTTTTGATTTCACAGTATACTTCGGTTTTGATGGAACTGTCTTAGGGGTTGCTGGTTGGCTTGAGCTTCTCTGATAACTAGGGGTTGACGGTGCCGATGTAGACCTGGCGTACTGCACCGAATGCGTATGGGAACCGCTTGTGCTTATCACCGGAGAAGCCTTCCCAACAGGCTTTGATGACTGCTGTAACACATAATGTTTATTTCATATGAAGATTTGCTAATTAATATTTAATTCTCTTAATTATTAGTCTTATCAAAGTGTATCAGTAGAATTACATTTTCATTTTTCTTTTTATAAAAGAAACCAAAATGTCATACTATATATATAATTCATATAAAATCAAATTACAATTACTATACAAGATGGTTGTTAATTTGTAACATAGATTACATACTTAATTTACATTCATTTTATATTGCCATTAAATTACAAATAAATTTGGCATATGTAATTGTATAAAACCTAGTATACTTGACTAAATAAATCAATCACATGCCATAATACCATACCTTATTATTACTAAAAACTGGTTGAGCTGTACCTACTGGCCTGGACACAGATGCTGTAGGAGTCTATAAAACAAAATTGAATTATTGTCTACTTTAATCGGTGTTCCACTAAAAGCATTGTTTCTACTGAAACAGACAACACTAACATTATCAATTGAATTCTATTGTAATCTTATTTTTTTACTTGTGTAATTTGGTTCTATTCTTGAGAGCAGTTAAGTACACCAAAATAAACAATTCATGTATTAATTGATTAATGAGATATACCAATTCAAAACTTTTTCATTTGTTTAACTTGCGGATATAAAAAATGTTGATGAAGTTTGGAAAACTCAACTGTGTAATAGCCTAAATGAAAAATTCTACAATTTTAATACGATGTGATTTTCCATCAGGAAAATATCATAGGAGTGATATTTTGCCCTACCAGACGTGCTATCGTACCGAATGCTCAGCAGGTCCCAAAATACTAGTGAAAATATAACACGTCAGGTAGGGCAAAACATCACTCTATTCTATAATTCTGTTATAGAAATATTAGATAAAAATTAAGCGAAATTGGTTTACCTTTCGTATCCTACTTTCCTGGTAACGTGGGGTCACTACTACAGTATCCTGCTCATCATTATCTAAATCATGCCTTGATGTCACAGATCGAAATTTCTACAATTATAAAAACAATTATACTTGATCTATAATCAGAGAGAGACATGTTTCAGAGAGATGGAAAAAAAAAATTTGATTCATAATCAGGAGACAAACTGTAGCTGGGTGGGTAAAAACAATAATCATTCTATCTATAATGAGGTGATTATAGCTTGGAGACAAAGTGATGTCATCGGAATTAAAAACTTGTTCCTAGGTGGAAAAAATTAAAGACTTACCTCCATACTATTTAGTTTTTCTTGCTTTTTCTTAATATCCTTAAAATATAAAATTGTTAAAATATAAATTATTAATACCATTATGGCTTTCATTTATATAGTCATTTTCTCCATTTTAATTTTGTTTCCCTGGCTAATGGAATGCGACTCAATAGTCTAAAACATTTTTGAGGCATAATACGAGCTAAATCATAATTTGGTAAAAGCAAACTTGGGTAGCTCCCAGTTAGAAAACAAATGATTTGGAATTTTGTACGAACCTCCTTTAAGTTTTTCTTTTTCTCTTCTGCTGATTTATTATCTTTTTTAAGGTGACCTATTGGAATGTTTAATTTCTGCTCAGCTGCTGAACACCTGAGATTGAACAAAAATAAACAATCAATAACAATACAAGAAACCAAACATACTAAATTGATTGAGCTTATTTTTAACCATGTTAATCAAGCCTAAACTTCATTGACATGGTAACCAATATCATGTTATGCTATCATATAAGAACCAGCCAGTTATCAAAATATCTTGTCTAAAATCAGGAAATGATTTCATTATACTGTAAAAAGTGCTCTAGAAAATTTTCCAGTCAAATAAGCTCTGATATTCAAAGCTAACAATGCAAAGCCAAGAACATACTGCTTTGGCCGGCGGTTGCTCAACACAAGACGTTGAACACTAAAACGCGACTAAACGTGCGTGACAGACATCAAACAACACGATCAGAGAGGACATGTACTTGCCAGCCAACAACCAGTTGACGCAGTGTGCACTTGGCTTATATGTACACAAACCTGTTATGAGTTGGATCAGGGTTCTGACTGCAAGTCCAATCATCTTCAATCACTTTGTTGATGTTACTACTTGAGAACTGTAGAAGACGCCATTTAAGACAGGAATCTGATGGTGATACAACCAAACAAAAGTATTTTATTAATATAGTAGATATCTATACACAATTTATTTATTTATTTTATTTCATTCCAAGGACTTCCTAGCAGATTTCAGCTTGGAGTCTACTAGAGTATCCAGGATTTTTACTATTTTTTTACAAAGATCTTACTATTTTCAAGTTTGTCTGGGTTGACAAGTTAACTTTTAAGGCCATGCAGGGACTAAGCCCCTTCCTCTTCTACTTACCTTTCACCTGTTAAAATTAGTTCTATTAAATTGTGCATATGCAAGGCTGACTCACCACATTGTATCATGGTCTGTAGTTGCATCGCCCTCTTGCGTACATATTTGGATTCGTTAGACGGCATATCTTTCCAATTACTGCTGACATAACCCAAGTCTTCCCAGTACCTAGTAACACCCTGTGAAGCTAAAAATTAAATGAAATATATAATTTAAAAACTATTATTGTTGTAACAATAAATTTGCTAAAACCATTGATTTAGCCTGGAGATCAGGGAAGCTTGGTTTCCCTACTATCGCTACACTGTCGCTAGGAAGCATAGCTGCCCCTACACAATCGGTAAAAGCTGAACCAGGTTGAATCTTCCCGACTTGTCAGCTGAAATTAGATGTTGACGTCGGCAGCTCTTCTTAGAAAGGAGATGAACAATTTCGAACGTCCAATTGGCAACGCGGCGATCATTAAGAAGACGGTAAACTTTCATCAACATTTGCTCTCTACAGTTAGAGAATATTGTTGCCTGTTTGATATATTACAGCAGAATTTTTAAATATTACATTAGGCCCTAAAGGGAAATGGATGTTCTGCAGTCGCTAAGATTCAACGCTATAACAGCGTTTTCCATGGAATTGCTATCACTGAGTCGCTGACAAGTGTTGGCGACTGGTGCTGATATGGTAAAGCAATTGTATGAAAACCAAGCTTTACAAATGTTGATGGATAGCGAACATGTAAATATTAATTCAACTGAAATAAACAAGACATTGAGATAATAGTGACAATTTCTACTGTCTCAATCTGACATACATTGATTGATTATTCTTACTTATAGATGTGTCCTTCCAATACTGTGCCATGTGCTCCCCCATTGCCTTGAGTAAGAGTCTGAACTCTTTCCGATCCTCAAAATTTTGCTTATTGTGAGTGGGTTCTAGTACTATGTAAGGTACATCTACGTACCCTAATACACCGCTGCAGTTCCTGTACATTATGGATAAAAAGATGAATTATTAACAGGGTTGTATATATCAATATTTTATTATTCTAGTAAGTTGGGCTTTCTCATAAATATTATATATAAACTGGATGGTATAAGCTGCTCCTAATCATTGTAATATAAATCATCGAAGAAAGGTAAATACAGTGTTCGAATAAAGGACATAATAATACATACATATATATATTCATATACACATAATATATATACAGTATATAAATATATATATATATGTAATATAATACATACATAATATGTTATGTAATAAACTAATTACGAGACAATGACTTACACTCCTCCCTCCAGTTGTGGTCCAACCTTCTCATACATTCGAATCAATCTACTACAGTTGTAGATAAATACTCCATCATGTTTCCTGTTCCCAATGTTCATTCCATACACAAAGCTCAATGTTTTTGGTTCTTTTAATGATTTCTGTTTCTTTGCAGCAAGGTCTTTCGCCTGATTTGCTTCTTTACGTTTTTCAGATGCTTCAATTTGAGCCTTCCTCAATATTGCCTGGAATGGTGTCAATTGAAATTTAAAATACATTTATATAATGAAAATTAAAACAACCTTGAACAAAACTCATTTTTAAAATAGAATATTTCATTTGTTCCTTCATACTTGAAATTAATTTCATAATTTTTATTTGCATATTGATTTACAAGTACTGTATACACAATTTATACATTTATTAAAGATATACTGCTTGTTGAACTAAACGGTAACATTTAACATTGGAACCTGCTTAGTTTGTATATTTTGGCCTAGGTAAAGCTCTGTCACATCAAAATATACAGTAATAATATGCCTATATATGGTCGTGATGTGATGTCATCATGACCATATTTTAGGAATGTTGCATGTTTTTGTCAAATACAATTTGATAGTCTGGCCTGGGCTTAAGATAAGCTTTCAATTCAAAATTAGAACAAGAAATATTGTCCTTGAAAATTAACTGATGCATAAATTACACCTCCATCTCTGTTTACACTGATCATCCAAAAACAGCTTGGTAATCAATTTAATTTAAGGATGAATATTATACAAGTAAAAAGTAAAAATTCAGTACAATCAACAACTTTAACTGAACACAGAGCAAAAAAGCAGGCCTTTTGCTACACAAGGGCAAGGCAAATTTGATGACAAACCTTAACACCAATGTACTGTACCACCAAAATAAACTAGTTTAGAGAAACATCGGATAGGAAGGTGTGGAAGAGTTCAGACGAGGGGTATGTCCAACAGTGGATAGACATACCTGAAATAAGTAAGTAAAAAGTAAATAATAGGCCATTATACCATTTTTTCTTTCCCATCTCCATGTCCAGTTTTCTTCTCAAGATCTCTTGCTGTGCTTTCAGCCTCTCTAGCTTTCTCTTCCTCTACAAAAGGTAGTTAAAAATGAATGTCAAAAACAAATAAAACTATAATGGAATTGTTCTCTGTAATGGGGAAATACAAGAAGATTAATATGTCGAGGCTCAAGCTCACACTCTAAGTTTGTTTTCTTTCCTAGACAAATAAATTTAACAGAAATGATATGATGGATTTATTTTGTTCTATATTATTATCTTGAATTAAAAACAAAAATAGAAAAGGAAATGTTAGAGCTTCCTTTCTGAAATAAAATATGAAAGGGAAAGTGTTGGAAGTGTCAGAGACATAGACTCTACTGAAACTGTACTGTCTATATTAATATACTAAAGTGCCATTTTTTTAAATTCATTAATTTACTGCTGATCCAAAATTGTTGCAAAGATATACTGTACTGTACTTACTCATCTTAGCTTCATTTACCGCTTTTGCTGTCTCCATTTCAGATCTTGTTTTGAATCTGGTTGAAGTGTATTTATACTTCCTAAAAAAATATATAACAAAGAGAGCTCCAGGTTTATGATGGTTGTAACTTGTGGTAAATATTAATAACTGAAGAAATTTACCTGGGATAGATACACTTTACCCAGGTAAACAATACCTGGCAGCTTTGTTAGACTGTCACTTTATCTAGCTGTGACTTAAAAACAGCATATTTGGCTATTTACCTTGGTTTGTGCAAACAACTGGCAAGATGCTTTGTTCGGACTTTTTTGTTCTGTATGTAAATCTTCATTTTTGGTTCAACATACAATACTGCAGCATAAGCTCGGAAAGACCTCCTTTCTGGATAAACTCTAAAGTTAAGACAATATCGAGAAAGGTTACAATGTTCTTCTTGATAAATCCTATGGTAAATGAATTGGTAGATGAGTTAAAAATGATGAGATGAGTTGCCCCAAACCATTCAACCCAAAACCTTTGTTCCTTTTTTTCATTCGTTTGTTAACATGATTTTTCAGAAATTAATGAATATCAAAAAAATTTAGTGAATTGGTACACACTGGTTTAAGATTAAATTTTAGAGTTAAGGTTAAAAGTCAAAGCAAATATCACAAAAAGGTAGAAATCAATAGCTTGACACTGAAAAAGTGACCTGCATTCTATCAAATGCCTGTTTTAGTTCAGTTATAATCTAAATTAAATTTATATTCAAATAGTGTTATCCACAGATTTACTTACCCATCGTCATCTGCAGATGTATCCCCAGCCATAAGTACATCTGTTGGATCAGCATAAATGTCCAACTCTGGTTCACCACTGTCCAATAGTTTTAAGTTGTATATAATTACTAATGTACCAGATCGACCTTTAATACTAGCAAACTGTTCAAACACCTCTTCTTCTGTTTTGAATGGTGAGTATTTTAGAATCAGATCCATTTCTATTCTATGCTGTTAAAACAACAGATGCTTCAGATTTATTTATTGGATCATAAAAATGAAAACAATGTTGTATCTAGGGGGTTGCGCGGTGGACACACATCCCCAGGGGTCCTCCCCTCCTGCAATAAAATGTGTTAAAGTCATTAACCACTGCAGATCAGTGGAGTGTACTTTGAATTCCACTGTAGATCTAACTCCCGGAAATGACTTCTTTCAAGCTTGGCTCTCCCCCTATTGAAAATGTCCAAAGCAAAAAAAATCACTTAAAAATCGTGACCCCCAGTGGTAGTGCAAGCGAGGGAAGGGGGCTGCCCCCATTGGACAAGCCTGAACCTCCACTGTCCAATGCCGTGACAAGGTCGTAGTCGTACCAAAAGGTAGGTTTCGGGTTTTCCCCGGGAAAATGTTGATTTCTAAATGGTGGGAAATGAGCTTTCCCGACTTTTTTCAGTTCTTTAAAATTCAAGGTTTCCCCCTTGAAAACGGTCAGGTAAATTTTTCACATTCTTATTACAGTAAATAGGCCTATTATGTATGTACCAGTATACGTATGTTGCGCATGTATTCTTTCTTTCATGAATCGATGAACCTCAAAAATAAAAGGAGTCTGGGGACCTCCCCCAAGAAAATGTTTCTCGACTTCTAATTTTCTTATTGTAACAAAAAAAATTCAGCTCACAGGTCCTGGAAAGGAGGGTCAAAAAATTTTTTTCTTTTGCCCAAGTAGAGGGGTCAGGACCCCTGATCTCCCAGATCCGCAAATGTGAATTGCGAGAAAATCTAACTCAGAAAATCTAACATTCAGACCACAGTTCCCCAACCCAACATACATGGGGGTCGCACATAATGGTAATTAATTACTCACCTTAAGTTTACCAGCAGGAGATTTTGAAATGGTCTTCTTACTCTTGACGTCGAATGATGGCAGAGGAACGATAACTTCGTCAATCTTCTCCTGTTCATGGAATGTTCTTGATAAGAAAAGGCATGTCATGGTGTCACCTTTCTTGGTGAACAAGATAAAGTCCTTTCCTATCCTCATTGAACCACTGGAGACAGAAAACGAATTCAGTTTTTTTTTTAAAGAATCCAACAGGTATTCCCTACATGGCTTGCCTCTCACAAGTGCCACGTCAACTTGAAAATTGCCTAGTTATAAATGCCGTTTCAAACGAATTCATAATGGTATAATAATTTATCATAAAAGTAAAACTTGGTGCAATTTTACTCGTATCTTTTAATTGACATGATCCGTATTTCTCGTCTATGTAGGCCTACAGAATTCTGTCAACTAGACGCAAATTCGGTAATTCATTTGATGGACACGTGTTAAAATACTTGCTCAATTTCCGGGAATATGCAAGAGGCAAAGGGTATCGATTATAATTTATATTTAGGAGTAATTATGGAAATGATCATATTTAAAATTGTTTTACAGTATGGGAATTGGATGATCTGATAAATATATATTTCATAAGCAAATGATGTTACACAAAGTACTTACGACTTCAATCCATTTCCGTACTGACCAATGGAGAAAAGGTCAGCATTGCGTTTTGTTGACTTGCCGAATTGAATAACATTTGCAGCTTCGTCTGAGAAAACAACAGGAAGCACGCCTTTTAGGTATTATTGCCTACACAATCTCCAGCAGCCAGACTTTCTGATCAGGCAGTCATTTATAAGTACTGTATAAATTGGAAAGCGATTACACTTTGTGGTGAAATTAATGTAACCACATTAAAATTCTGACCCTTTGAATTCAAATACCGGCATAAATTCTCCAAAATCCAGTATTCTATCAATCTCTGTCAGACTCTTAACAGTAGGCAGGCGTCAGAAGCGTATACGTTGTGTCTCAGAAACATCTGAAAATTACCCAACTTTGGCATACCCACACTTTCTTTAGACCTCCAGATACTCAACCAAGATCTATTATTCCGACGTTATGTTCTCCAACGTGGGTCTATTTTTCCAAAACGTAGCCCAAGTCGAATACCTTCAAACACTAATGTCTTTACACAGATCTAATTATCTACGCAACGTCTAGCCAATCGTGACGGGCCATTCCGCTATCAATGGGGCAAAATGTCACGGATTTTGGCCAGTATCCACTGGCCATGCGACAGTGAAAATTAGTATATACAGTACTTTTGTTTTTGAGGAATCTTAATTTTTTTTTTACTACACGCGCGAGATGAAGTTATGTAAACTTTCAATACTTTACTTCAGATATTTCATAGACGCAACTACTCAACTTGGAAAAGTTTACAATTTGTAGAGTAGGCAATACAGATTTTTTTGTTTTTATATTCAGCTCTATGGTTACTGTATGTCTCATTAATTCATATGGCCTTTCACGCTCCGTTAATTTTTAGCCGAGCATAACACGTTTTGTAAATTTTTTTCATTAAATACACGTAGACCTATGTTTGGAGAAACTGAATACTGGGTATTCGTTTCCTGAAATTATACATTGATTTTAAAAATACACTCCTGTGATGCCCCATAATAGTGCAGAGAATATGACCTTGACGGAACGCGATGAAAACTTACCTGGGCTCATACCGACACCATCGTCCAAAAAGCATAGCATATAACCACCTCGTAGTTGATCGTTCTCCACTGCCAAAACAAAGCAATCATGTTATTATTTACCAGTAGGCCTACCACATGTACACACACTGTAATAAGTTATAAATAAAACGGTTTAGATCTACCGTACTATATCGTGTATACATAGGCCTACTTAAAATTGGCATTTATGTTTCCAGAGTGTCAAGTTAACAACTGGACGAATCGGAACAAAACCAGTATTACGCGCTTGTCCCACATCCACACGGTGTATGACCGTTTCGGCCGCGATGTATGAAACATATTTTGTATTGTCCTATACAGTAATTAATATGTGACTTGACTTACAAGTATTAAAAAGAATGTGGCAAAGGCAAAATACATGTTTTATTCATGTCAATTTGATAAAGGAAGCCTAGGCCAGGCTTAACATACGGTACAAGAAACGAGCGTAATCTGAAGTTTAACAAACTTAAAATTCTCACAGATAGGCCTATATGATAAGCCTACTTATTTGTAAAGTAATGATAGTTGTTGAATGAGTTAATGAATGTTATTTTAATAATAAGACAAACAAAAAACACTTAATTTCACGATTTTCAGGATATTAAATACATCGCGGCCGAACTGTTTCGCGGACGAAACGGATCGCATTCATACACGTGTTGTCCCACAAACGCTGGCGATGGCGTTTTCTGGAACCTCAGCAACAATATCCAGAGGACGGTCTTAATAGTGTAATGGTCCATTTTGCAGGAGACAGTTAATGAGACCTAATCCTGCTTGTTGACCTACTAACTACATTTTATGTCCTATGTAAATAAATGTCTGACCAAGCCAAGTATTTCAACGTAATAGAACCAACGTCTCTGTGCAGACTATATTAATGTAGGCCTGTCATTTTGACAGTACAAGCATAACAGTGTAATATTTTTTCGGTGAGGTAGACGACGTAGCATAACAAATAAATAATCCCTCCAAATAATAGCAAAACTAAACTGTGAGACAGCGCAGCTTTGAGAGAGCAGCTTAGCTCAGTCGGCTAATCTGGTGGTAGCCACTGTGTGTGCGCTGAGCAATGGAGATCTCTAGGCCCCTGGTTCAATTCCGATCGCTGCCTCTCCTTGTGTTTCAGCTAGAGGGCTGATATACAAGTTACAATAGCGCATCATCTTTCGGATGAGACGTTTATGGCCCATATGCACGTTAAAGAACTCAGTACACTCTTCGGAAAAGAGTAGGGGATTGTCTCCCGGTGTACTACCCAATCACCACCAGAGGGACTCCACTGGAAATAAGTCGTCTTCTAGACTTGCGTGGGCTATCCTTGGTGTTTACACCGAATAAATCCAAATCCAGTACAATCCACGCCAATAGCAATAGTATTGATAACAATACTTAACCAATCACTGCTACAGAATTCAGGCATGAGGGAATTTCATATTTTTTCACTTGTCCCGGACAAGTACCTTTGAAAAATGCACTTGTCCTGAAGACAAGTTTCCCAATATTATTGCACAATAATCATAAAAAATAACACAAAAATAAAGTATTTTTGTTATGGCCCTACCACATTAATACTAGGCCTACATGCATAATGCATTGATCAAGATGTGTATAAGAGACAGCCACTCATATCGTATATTTGTACCCGTTTGCAGATCTTAATCAATTCTAATACTTCAGAATGTTTTTTTGTTTTGTTTTTTTTTCCGGAATATACAAAAAACTAATTCAAATTGCACGTGAAAACCTCTAGAAAAATAGATGCATGCCAGAATGGTAAATAGGCCATACTTGTGTTCCTACTATCAACGCCTCAATTTCCTGCAAAATATCCATGAAAATCAGCTCACATTTTCGAAATGCGGGACGGATTTCTGGGCCTAATATTTTATGCGGGAAATATTTTACAGCCTGGCACATCCTCATTTCATTTATTGCAAAATAAATAAAATTGCTTACCTCTCAACGAAAGACAAGCACTGTAGGCCTATTAACTCTGAGCATGGGCTGAGGGGACGAATCCCTTCTAGAGAACCTCCGAGACGGCGAAATTTTGAGACAAGAAAATGATTCATTTATAGGCCTTAAACCCTCCAGGTTTACAAGATTTGGATTATACTGGCCTATGCACATTATCTCCATCACATAGACGGACGGCTGACGGGTAATAAGTACGATATCGTGCGAAAGTATGTACCTGCTGTAGGTCTAATGTGTACACATAAGACAGATCTGGCTAATACTTAACAATTCATTTTCAATCTTTACTGCAGAAAATAACAAATTTTATATTGAGTAGGCCTACATATTTTATTTTAAACCGTCAATAAATCGCAGGAGTGTTAATGCACGCAGTGCGGTGCGTAACCCTGGTGTAGTCGGTTTTCTGTTTGATATCTCTTTGTGCGCCGACAATTTGTTAATAAAATATGCTGCGTATTGTCAAGAGTCAGACTTTTTATAAGTAGGCCTACTGTGAAAGCATTACGCATTTTATCCTAAAAGTGCTTGTTGGCAGACAAGTGGTCCCTAAAATTATTGTTGTCCGACCGTAAAAAACACTTGTCCGGGGCCAACAAACTTCTGGGCAAATCGTAGAGCGAGGCATTCTCACTGATGGCATGTGCATGTGATAAGCAACTTTCAAGACATGGCACTCGGCAGGTAAAATTACACAAGCATCATTTTGGGGGTCAGCCCCAGTACCACAGGCCCCAATGGGGGAAAAATAGGCCCTGAACCTAAGGAAAAATCTCTTTGGATCTAGTTTTATGTTTTAGCCACTGAGTATTATTTAGGCCCATTTGCAATTGCAGCCCAGGCCCCACAGTCTTTCAAGCCAGCCCTGGGCAATTACATCAAAGATGTTCATGGTCCTGGAAATCAATTCATTTATTTTCAGTACACATACCAACGATAATGGGGTAGAAAACCACAACATTCCACCATTACAGTATTCGTTTGTTTTTTCAACTGGTTATGTTTACCAAAATCATAATCAACAATTCCATGATGACCTTCACAGTTCCCAGAATCGCAACATTATTTAGGCCTACATATATCTATGATTGAACACTTTCCAACTTAACCTTTTATTCTAGCTTAACTCGTGCTTATCTTTCGAACGTTATTGGCAGCGGTGTCACCAGTGGGGGCCAGGGCCCCACCGGAAAGCTCCCCTCCCCCAACCGTCGGTGGAAAGAAACTACAGTTCGTCGGGCAAAATTCAGTTTATGTATTTTCTACATAATTATTAGTAGACCCTAACATCGATTAAATAGAGTAAGTCTTTGAAACTCCTAAATTGTCAATATTTTCTGGGGCTTCACCCCCTGGATCACTTTCGCCCACTTTCCTTTCGTCGGGGACATCTGCCACCATCGGGGACATTTCCCCCCTCCGTCGTTCATCCATGAATCGCCATTCTCTCTCTATATTAAAATACACCATTAAACTTCTAACTTGATTACTGTATAATTCTCTCAATGGTCGTTCCACTACGTCGATGTATATGTTTCCACAAAGGCAACACTCCATTAAAGAGCGGTAAACAGCAGTCTGAACTTGTATGTATTTGATGTCATAGGCCGAACTATTCCTGGTGCCTGAAAAACATTGGTTTTTACTGAAGTGGTCGGTACAATTGCACTTTTATACCATATTAATTGATGGATAATGGTCGTTAGTACAGTCCGTAATTCAATAACCTTCATGGTGTAACTAGGCGGCACCTGTTTCCCGAATACTGTACTGTACTGTAATCTTCATTGACTTCAAATAAAGCTTCAAACGACGCCGTGATTACGCCTAGTGTCCAATGCATAATGCTTTGTAGTTCAGCTTGGTGACGGCATTACATGACAAATACACAGATTCCAATGACAGAACAAAATGATCTTATTTTTAGTGCAATGAACGCTTGGAGAAAAAGCTTTTGTAGTCGCATTCAATAATTCTTTGAAGCACAATGGAGGAATGCGGACGCGTTCATAACTCACAGGAGCGATGAACTAGTTTTACTTCAAACAGTTGTCAATAAAAAGCATTTACCTCACGTCTGGATCAAACTTGTACACGTTTGTTTCCAAACGTTCGTGGAACAATCTAAAACAACGTATACTGTACATTATATATCTACAAATTTTAAATATATAGGTAGGTACCGTAGGTTCTTGAAACAAAGTTGTTCAATCTCCAAATATAACTTCAAGGCTGTACACGTTATAGTTAAAAAATGTATCCGAGTAACGTGACAGATATAATAATACTTTGTGACATGATACTTCATATATTGTACACAACTTTTAAATTAAACATTAAGAAATACAATCATAGTATACTGTAGTTTCTTCTACAGTATATCCCTTTAACATCAAATGAACAATTGTGAATATCTGTCTACATTACAGTATAATGTTTGACGGTACAGAACATTGGAAAAATATGCATAGTTAGCCTTTTCTTCTTGGATTCGCGGAACACTCGGAATTCCACTGCCCAAATCTATTAATAGAATGCTGTGATAAATAGACAATTCGCCACAAAACACCATAGACTGTTCCAATACTGATATCATTTGTAAAACAGATTTTTTTTTTATCTATCAGTAGTTAGAAAACAAAAAATGAGTGAGACGATTTTTTTATTTTCAAATTCCCTGCGTTAAAACGTATGATCATAAAACACGCAATTCAAAATTAGGTATGTCAGGGAGTTGTCACTATAACTTCCCCGAGCTTGCAAATCAACAATAACTTTATAGATACTGGTATTGGCCTTTATCCCAATTACAGCCATTATCAAATCTATCCGTAAATCCATTTTGTTTTTACACTGCACTGACGGATTCTGTCGGATAGCTTGTTGTGATGAAATATCATACATTTCTCCTGTACAAAAGAAGTGGTTTTTTTAATTGGAGCTTATTTCAATCAGCTATTCTTCACCATCCACATCCTCCAACTGAGCACCAAAATCGTCTAGCGGAAGATCAAAAGAATATAAGTCGGCGTAGACAACTGGAATGATCCTTACAATGTTCGGGAGTAGTCTTCAATCATACCAGTTGCCTCAATCTATTTTCACAAAACATGTAGTTTTCAGATGAAAGCATCGACTGCTTGTTTGCAAACCACAACGTTGAAGAAATGTCCGAAAAGGGGAGAGGGGAAAAAGTGGGGCCAATCGAGATAACAACACCCTAGCGGGTCCGTGAAATTTGTGTTTCAGACGCCGAAAATGACGTCTAAGGCGTTTTGGGCAATCAACTTTTTCTTTCTTTATAGAAGTACCAATGAAAAATGCCAGCTGGAAATCGTTATCTGCAAAAGTCTCACTTTTGATAACATAATTTTCCGCAGACACCCTGCAGACCTGAGGTTGGTGGAACCCAAATTATTTGTAGGTACTCTAAGAGGTCTGTGGACTCCAGGATGGGAACCACTGTTGTAAAGTACATTCAGTACATATTCCAGCAGACATTTGTGTTCTCAGATGCTTGTGTTGCTGTTCGTTTCAGATCATTTTTTGCCCATATAATATGATGGAATCTGCTTATATATTACACATCTCATATGTTTTACATAACATTTTGAATGTTGTTTGTATTGTATAAATTGATTAAGCAAAAAACATCCACAAAACAGAAGCTGTTACCGAGTTTATACCTCCTTGCTGTTACTAATGTACAGTAATAATGGTTTATCCCTATGTATATTATATGCTACAGTATTAACCAATGTTCACAGATTATTGAATGTCTTTGCACAAGGTTTTTTCTCCATTTTTGTCTAAAAACGCTGTATGAATACTTACCTGTAAAAATATCCATGCATGTCGCACCTGCATCCCTGCGGATAAAATACATTATGTTAAGAATATATATTTATTTGTTTTCTATAATCCACAATAATTATCGGTTTATACTGTATGCATTATTGGTACAGAAAATATGTATATAGTCAGTCTTATATAGTGCATTATATTGTCATGGACACAATCGAAATTTACAGTGCATGGTTTAAACAACTGACCTCAAAGTTCAAGGCCTAAAACTTAACCAATCTACCACTACTACACAAGTTTTCCAATATAATGGTATATTTTCTTCATTTCAATAAATAAAGTAAAATTACTGTACTGTATTTTACTTCTAATTCTAGTAATATGGCAATATATTACCTGGAGTTGTCTAGCATTTCTGCAAGTGCACCGAACAGGAATTCATGTGTTGTTCTAGAAAAAACAAAAGGCCATAAATAAGTCTTAGCTTAAGTGACCAAGATTGGACGAACTACATTCTATTTCAAATAACTTACGATATATCCACACATATGCCTACTAAACACAATATAATTCACTTCGTAAGCCTAACTTTAACTTTCCAATGTCATTAAATGTGGGGTCAACTGATTGTTTAATACTGTACTATATATATTCAAACAGAATGATACAGTACTATTCAGTATTTATTAACACCCGTATCTGTGATACCTGGTCTAATCATGGAGGAATATGTTACTCCTCCATGGTGAAATCATAATGGTATATTAATGATGGGTAATATTTCAAATTTAATTCTAATTTATCTATTAACAAATAATGAGGAGTAAATATTCAGTTGGATTAAACATTTTTTTTTCCATGAGCAGCAAGAGAGACATGGCACACAGACCCTTGCTCCTTGTGAATCTAAGCCAAATTGTTGAAACTCAGTTTGCTGCATGCTTTGCTGACTCAAAAACCCAGAATCCCAGGTTGCCAAAACTCAGTTTTGCCGAAAGTCAATAAAAAGCAGTAAAACATTTAAAGCATAAAATTCATGATGGAACACTTGTATCATATAATAGCGGCTTATTGTGTTTAATAATTCTTTTTATTTTATTCTGTAAATAACCTTGATTACAGTATTCCCATCAGCAAAAAAAAAACCAAAAAAAATACAGTTGAACTGAACCAAAACCAAAATGGCATTTAAAAAAAATTGTTTCACTTCAGTAGTTAAAATTCGATTTACAATAGCTACTTAATGGAAAACACATCAATTTAACATGCAAAAATAAAGCTGACTTAGACAAGTTTAACTATAATTAAATAGACCTACCGGATAAAATGTCTTAGAAGCATATTTATAATAAATACATAAAGTGTAACTAAGACAATACTGTATGTAGTAGGAAACAAATTAATAATACATTAATCTACAATTATGCCAATGGTGACTTCAAAAATTTGCCAGTCAGGGCCCGGACTTAAAATTCCTGGTAGGGTTCGCATGGAGAGTCCTTTTAGGGGAGGAGGGGGATACGGTGCTTGATCCTTCATTTCATTTCCATTTTATTTCTAATTCCAACTGATAGCCATGCATTGTTGTTTTCCAGTATTTTCCATTTCATTTTAATGGGTATATAAATACGACTTCTCCCTCATTGGTGGCACCAGAAATTTTCTGAAAAGTGGTCCAACATGTCCGACGAAGGGGTCCGAGCCAAGGGGCTGACGAAGCCTCGGTCGATGGCCAGGAATAAAAAATCTGTTGTAAGGGGAGCATTTTTATGGCTTACAGTAGTATGGTCCACAATGTGATTTTAGACCACATATTAGGGATTGGCAGTCAAAGCAACCTTCTTTGGATAGGCAAATTATTATTTTTCCTAGTTGGACGAAAGAGGGTCCAGGCCTGTCCGGCGGGGGAACCACTTGTGCCACCACTGTTATCCCTGAACCACCCATCATTTTTCAAAGCACAGCGACGATAAGATTTGGCAACTGGGTTGTCAGGATTTCAGTGAACTGTATTCGGCAAACTAGTCAGATACCCTCTTCATCAATAACTCAAAAAATCTACCTGAATCCTGTAATCAATAGGCCTACAACTTTCTAGGCTATATATACTGCCCTGCCTCTCAGAAAGAAAGAATGGGTCAAATCAACAATACGTTAAAAATGGAATGAATTCATATTTCTAGTACATATTGTAGGCCTAGGCCTAGTAGTAGGCCTAGCTAGGTCACGACTCTGGCTTACAAACAGGAAATGCCAAGAGACAGTGTGACAAACTGAATGTCTTATCATCAGCAAAGTGATGGGTTATATTCTATTGAATAATCAATTCGACGGGTTAAATTTAAAAACCACTGCAAATATTGTAACATTTGGAAATACTGTATATGCTTCTCTTCTAATCTTACGAGTTCGTATGAAGATATTCAAAGCTGAGCTGAGCCCGACTGAGACCCTGGTATGCAGCCATGTCCGTCTGCATCTGCTCCAAACGTTGAGGAAATAATGATCTGGAATTTCACTGCGTCAAAGCACGTCTGTTGTTGTAGTACAGCAATCAAATCTTCTTGCTTGGCCTCGAGTTTCCGATTTCAAAGGATGGCCCATGCAATGAAACTGTAGCATTGACTCTGAATCTGCTTGAAGTTCTGCCTAAAAGATCCAATGAATATCCTGTGGTCATAGAATATTGTATCTTCGTGGCTGGTGTTTATATACTCAAGTTGCTTAAACCTTATTCACAGTAGCATTCTGATGCTTAGTCCTGATTGAAATATGGAACCCAGACATCGCCTATTACTCCATAATCTTTTTCTGACCACCCGACGACAAGCGCGAAACTGCCTCGTATCTCAGCAGAGCTGCAAAAACATGGTTGTGAGCAGGTGATGTACAGCTCTAAAAAATGCCATAGATTGCGCCATTAGTATATAGTTCCAGTAAACATTAGCTTGTTTATTTTGTTTTCATTAAAAAATATAAATTTTTTAATATTCATTTTTTCGCAGATATTTACATAGTTCAGGTCACTATTTCTATACCTAGAAAATACTGATGTATTGTACATAGCCCTACATTTTAAGATTGTTAATAGACATAATAGTCTATGTTATTTAATCCAAACCGCACGAGTAGGCGTAATAATACTACTATACTGACGGTGTGAATGTCAAAGGTTAAATTAGATCAAATTTGCTATCGTCGTTGTTTTTTGGATTTAGGAGAAGTTTCGTCTGTTTTTAATTTCATAAATATGGTATTTTCATCATAACTACAATTTAATGTTACGGAGTCTGTTATGGATCAATTGATTTAAATCACGTCTTCGCAAAGGGACAATCAAGAATAGCCATAATGAGGTGTATTCGCCAGGCCTTCTCTTCCGCCATTCATGATTTTGCTCATCACGATTGACACGGCAGGCCAAGCCGCCTAGACTTGACTAGGCCTACAGTAGCAGCTCACGGGCTTAGGCTAGCAATATACAGCGCATAGCCAGAGAATTATTGCAACATCCGGGTTCGCCAGATATGGCTAGGCCCAGATCCACATCATCAGTCGTACTAATAACACTGTCATTATTTACATGACAGCTAAATTATAATGATATAATTAATCCAGGCCCTAGTAGTATAAATACCACATAAATAAATCCTTGTTTGCCAACCGAGGCAGGGATTGTGGATACTGTATTGTTCTTATGATTTTATAAATCCGTGGTGTTGGCTGGTGGACCTGGCATGACCCTTAAATCAGCTGCCATAAACTTAAGAACAGTACAGTATCAATATCGTAATGCACTATAGCATGTCTGAAGAATACTTATGCAGGTACACATACTCTGGACTGCATACCCAAGGACACAATGCAAATTGTCTTCAACCCCAGGCCTAGTTGCAGCGCAAGGATTTCCCCGACGACAGAGAACAGCTGTACTTATGTGCGTAGCGCCATCAGACAGTCGTAAGCCCAAGCCAGGGGAGGGTTTGAGAATGAAAAAAATTGTAAAATAAGCCGCTACACACTCATACAGCGCATTTTGACCCAAGGATGGTGTTTTTTGTATCTCTTTGGCATCCAAACCATATATATATTCAGTCCAAACTATATGTCTATTCAGTCTAACATTTGATAACATTTTATATTATTTTTTTATCCTCCGACGAATCTCTCGCAACAGTACTGTATATTTTTAATGGTTATGTTGTGAAGCTAATGTAACAGTACAATGTTCGATATAACTCTCAGAATGTAGACTACAGTACATAATTTTGTTTTCAATGTTAAAAGTTGTAAGTTCTATCAGTCAAAAAGAAGGAAAATACCTCAAAAATAAAAAATAAAATTAATAACCAATTTGAAGAGATCAAATAAATTAGAGTACAGTATTAGCTTCCAATGAGAAAAGTGGTTTTCACCAATTTACAGATATTTCACTACAAAAATCTATGCAAGAGAATACAGGAAAGTTGTTATTTAACTGCTAGAAAATTGACAAGTGATTATTTTAAGTTAATAACTTCAATAAGTTAATAATTTATACAAATTGACAATTCATATGTGGAATTAAAATGTTTAAAAACTTTAATTCTTTCCCCCTCATGACTGATAGTACTGTACATATTTAAACAATTGTTTCTTTTTATTGCAATGCAGTACCACCTGTATTGTCTGCTGGTATGTGAACACCTCAGGATATTTACATTTTCAACAGTCACTGGATTAATGCATACTTACCAAAAGTAGAGTGTGGCATGCATTGTTTGATTATGTGGTGCTGCTTTTTTGACACCGAAAAAAAAAAAAAAAAAATTCAGGCAATTTTACTAGATATATACAGTACTGTACCAAGAAGTTGAGGCACATACCTTTCCCACTACATTAGTTACATTCCATGATTTAATTCTAGTACTGTAGTGACATGTTCACTGGCAGTCCATTAAAAATATCCTATTGATCTAGTGTTTACTGTATATTAGTAATCTCATCTATACTGTGTATAATTCTTTTTAAATTGTACTTTAAATATACTGTAGTAGGCCTTAATTAACGCAAAAACAATAGCTTCAAAGATGGTTACAGTATCAGTAAATATGCATTTCAGCATGCTCAATCAAAAGGAGAGCAACGGAATTGTACCTGAACCCTGGTAATTATTTTTTATACCATAGTACCTTTTTACCTGGGCAAACAATAAACACCATAGAATTACTTAACTGATACTGTACTAGCATTCCAATGATTCTAACTACTGTACCTCCTGACATAAAAATATAACAGAAACACACTGTATTTGCACAATATTAATTTTATTATACAGTACAGTACAATGTGCTGAATTTTACAGTACAACTACAAAAAAAAAACAACAAAAAAACACTTGAATTTGAATATAGCACTTGCACTGAAAGTGTACAAACATAGCAACAATTCAAAGAATGTATGGACTAGCAGAACAATGTCTTTTTACCTAGAATCCCAACAAATGATCTACATTTAAAAAAGATATTGCTTAACAAATTCAACATGCAAGCCTTTCTATATATTACAGTATACTGTATATAAACATCATGACTCTTAAATGTTTATTTTTTGTGACTTCAAGAATTAATAAGTAATATTAATTACATAACATACAATATAGTACAGTGAACGATCGGCCACAAATAATACAGATTTGCAATTTCTCCTCTTGGATGTTTGCTAAATAATTGTTTTTTATCTATTGAAATTACACACTATTCTTAATCAGAATATACATACAGTATGCATTACTGTATATAATTCATTCTTTATAGATATATGTCAATATATTGCAATGAAAAGAATTGTCCATGTATACCTATTTATATTCTCTGTTATATATCAAAAATATTTACACTTCCAACAATTATTCTGCAAAATTATGAATGCTTAGAGGGAACTAGAAAGCTTGTGAAATAAACAAATGTCCGAAAAGGATGACTTGGCAAGATACCAACACATTTTCAAAAGTATCACTTGATAAAAAAAAAGTGCCCTGATGCTATTTGACACAAATACAGTACTGTATAAACAAAATATACATCTTGGTAATATAATACAAATTTTGACGGCCCAAAATGCTGATATCTTCTTTGTATTTCATGGCAAGTACAGTAGAATAAGGCAACCTAGTTGTGAAGTGCCTGAAATTAAGGGAACATACATTACATTACATATTTACTGACATACATTAACATCTTGAAAAAATGGTATTGCAGATTGTCTATTACAGTATATATTTATTTTTCAACCTACCAAATCAGTGGTTGGCTACCAAGGAATTTAATGTTGTTTTTACCAGTTTTGCAATAAATATCAAAATATAGTATATAAATTTATTGTAAAATATAATGTACTGACATTACAAAACAAAAGATATATACTGCAAATAATTTTAAGAAATACTTTAAATACAATTTTCCTGTTATGACTTGTGATACTCTAACACCTTACTTTTTTCTCAGATGTGGTGGCAATAATAACTCGAGTTTTAACAGGTTTTCGTTTGAACATTGCATAACATAAGCAGGTGATTATCATAACAAATAAGAAGTAACTTGTATGCATCAAGTGTAGATTGATAAGTGATTGCTCAGCCTGAGAAAGAGAAACAAGTGATTATGTTTGTTATCTGCAGGGGTCGGGATAATTTTGCTGAGGGTACCAAATGTCAATACAGTAATACAGGGGCATTTCCTTACACATTGTGGTGGTTCCAGTTTGGACTCTTCCTGTGGTAGCTCCAAGTTAAAGCATAGTAATATATCTAAATTATGCCTATTTCACAACTTAAGTTATTTTTTTGACTGCTATTAGGAAAGATCAGTCTTTTTGCACATGTAGAGCAGAGGGCGTAGTCAAATATTTGTAACTCGCCCGTGGACGTCATGTCATACAATTTGGGGCAGGCCAATAAGGTATTATAGTGAAAGAAAATAAAATTAAACCATATACAGATGTTTATTAAATTGGCAGTACTGTAGCTTGTTTTATACATCACATCAAACAAAAGTAATTGGGGTTTTTTTTTGTGAGTCTGTAGTTAGTAGTGTACTGTCAATTGAAGATACGATATGATTACCAATGTATCTGCCCAAATAACTAATATTGTACAGTATTTACATAAATTTTCATATAAAAAAGAATGTCATACAAGTCAAGACAAGAACAGTATAGTATCAGGCATATCATAATGTAAACTACATAATACACTTACTGAACTGAGCATAACTGTAAGTCTAGGATCAAATTTATGGTCACTGTAGACAACTGCACCATTATCACACCAATCGCCCAAAGCATCTGTTTTCATTGACAAACTTGCAATGGAGTAGTCTCTTATTGATTCTGTGATATTGCAAGTAGGTGGTGCCCTGTAATCAACAGAATTGTAATGAGTTCCTGTCAGCAATATTTACTTTAATACTCGTCAAGGCCTGTGCAGCATGTCTTTAACAGTATATCCAATATTATATACAGACTATATTCCAGGCATTGAAAAGCCGGGGAATAGTTCCAGCCATGCCCTCTAAATGCCTACAATCTATGTAGTGGTATATAAAACAAATATTTACTGGGTTTTAATCAGGTCATAGTTCAAAGTATAGCCCTTGGTAATCTGGAGGCTGTACTATATCCCTTGACTTCGGTTGGGGACATAGTACAGGCTCCAGATCACCTCAGGCTATACTGTATTTTGAACTACGCCCCCTCAACCCAGCAAATATTTGTAATAGCATGTGCTTAACAATACTGATTAGGACTGGGGGGGGGTGCACACAGGTATCCCTCATGCCTCCCTTCTGGAACCGTGCCTGAATAAGAATTAAAATGTAGGGTATATAAAAAATATAGATTACAACTATTAAATAAAATATACATTATTATTATTGTGTACAACAAAAACTAGGTTAGACACAGCCAGTAATTAAACTTCTAGCATAAAATATTTTTTTCTAAATCACAGCCCACAACTGGAGGGCACACAATGTAACAGTTAATTGGACCAACTTTTTTCATTAATATTACTACCTTCTTGCAGGAAAAACACTTCTGACAGCAAAGAATGTAACACAAGATTTTAAAATAATTTTATCACAAATGCTTCTCTTCAGACAGTTATGTATTCCAACTGGTTCAGGCAGTTCAAAATGGAAATGTACTGGTTCACTTTCCGCATCTTTACCTGAAAACATAAAATTAAACCATACTACAGTACTACCATAATCTATATTTAATGTCGACATTAGTTTTAGTACTCTGATTGGCCTACATTGAAATTTTCTATTTAAAAAATTGATCTTATGTCAAATTGCTAGAATATGATACCAACTTGCAATGGACTGAAATTCAAAGACCAAATGAGACACAAATCTATGCAACTATTGTCATAAATCTGAGCATATTTGACCAATGATGATGATTGCAAAAATGAGAGTGTAAGGAGACATACATGCCAGGGTCCAGAGTGGGACTTTTGTGGAGAGAGGGTGTAGCACCTCTAGATGGCCGGAAATGGCACTCTCAGACCTAATTGTAATTATGATATTCTTTTTTTTCCCATTTTTATTTTAATTTTTTTTTTAATTTAGAGGGCCCAGACCGGCCCATCTCCCATGAACCCGCCACTGATGCTTAAAACTAGACACCAAATTTTAGATTAATGTGCGTACAGTTTCTGAGTTTGCTGTTTACAAAATTGATTGTACCACACACACATTTCATACCAGTCCATTATAATGCTTTCTATGCTGCTACACACAGGAACTGATAAATCATATGAAATGCAATCCATTACCTGGCACACCAAGCTGAGAAGCAAAGAGTTTTCCTTTGAAGAAGCTGACATTCTGCAAGCTTAGAAGCATTTTCTCTGTAGGTTCAATGATCAATGACACTCCCATGGAGTAGTTGTGCAACTTTGTGTCGTACTCCAGTAGATTAAGCTGCTGATCTGTACCATGGCTTAGAAACGAGTCTGTTGTATTATCACTCGAGATGATGTATGGGTGACTTTCTTGTACTGATACAGATGTATTGCTGTCCACACAGAAATCATTTTCTGAAAAGCTTAATAAAAAGCTATTCCAGTCCTACAAATAGAAAGATTCAAATTTTGCAACCATTCAATATGAAATTCATCATGATAATTGTTCTGTACGCTACACAGCAATAGGAGGGTCTTAGCTTTTAAATTCTTGATGGACAATGGAAGCAAATTCCACAAGAAAAGAGAAGCAACAGCAAACAACTTTGATTCAAAAATTTCTTTGGGTAGAATAATAATGAATTCAGACACTGAGCAGCCATTAAATAGGCTATCTAGTTAGAACTTCATGATAAATATACTGTGTATTTGTTTTATTCAGTTATCATTAATACAGTAAACTCCAATTAAGGGAACACTTTCGAGACCAAAAAAGTGTCCCTGAAAGGGGTTTGCTGTAGTGTTAAAAGATGTACTTTCCTTAGTTTTGTGGCCGGAAAAAATGTCCCCTTAATAGGGGTGTCACAAAAGAGGGGTATTAATGTATCTACTTTTTTTTTTTAACTTAAAACCCCTAAACCCTACTGATCCCCACCCAAGTTGTCAGGTGTGTCAGGGAGCTGACACACCTGTCAGACAGCTTTGGTCAGCTCCCTGTGGATCTATAATACTAAAGCTATCACTACTGGGAAGATCACAGACAGTACACAAGTTTGATCTCATTAGTCGGTAGAAGAGGATCTTTATGTTAAAATTTATTAGAGTACAATATATGTGATATGTGAAATGCTCACTCACCTGGGCAATATCATAATCTTGTACTTCATGTTCCTTAATGTACCAGCCTAATGACATCATAACAATTACAAAAGAAATCAAACAACCAACAAATATAACCATTGGAGGCTTGCTTACAGCATGGCTCTTGAAGTTGTCTACTATATAGACCTTCATCGTTTAAATCTGTGGAAACAATTTTAAAAAGTACAAATATTTTCTCTAATAATCTGAAGCAGAACTTTCTAAAACTCTAAGTTCGAAAGAAGGGTGTTAAAAATGTGATCGTTTCTTTGAAATAATGGCATTTGCCTAGGATATCAATTGATTCCTGACCTGGAATACTTAACTCTAGCTATGGAATAACTGTGGCTAGGTATTATGTATGATTGATTCCGTACCAATGGCGGGGATGCATGAAACAAGAGCATTACTTAATTGTATAAAAAAATAAAAATAATTATTATACAGTAATTGTTAATTAACATTTGGCACAGATGTATAGTAGCATACTGAGCAATAACATTTTAAATTTCTACACATTAGGAAGATCATTTTAGGTTTATTTAAGTTATCCTTCATCGATGGATTATTCAGTATAAACACCAAGGATAACCCATAATTTTCCAGTGGGGTCCTTCTGGTGGTAATTGAGCAGTACACTGAGTGACAATCCCCTACTCTTTTCCAAAGAGTGTGCTGCATTCCATAACATGCACATAGGCCATAATGACCAACGGCTTAAATGTCTCATCCAAAAGACAGTGTACTATCGTAACTTGCATTTCAGCCCTCCAGCTAAAAATAAAATACAACAAAAGCAGTGATAAGTATTCAACTGCGGACCAAGAGATCTCCACAGTTCAGCACTCACACAGAACGGCTACCACCAGTTTAGCCAACTGAGCTAAGCTGTGATTTTCACCTGTTGGTTATAATTATTAGATTTGTTAAAGTGGCATAGATGCATTTATTTTCATCCACCAGTAAGAATTCAAATGTCCCACCAAGTACATCCGGAACAATTGCTTTAATATGAGGTACAATTTTGTAGGCCTATTTTATTTGCTGTGCCTGGTGATGATTTCTTGATGGTGATACCCATGTCATGATGGGTGAGACGAGTAGGAAAACATCATGTATTTGCTGGAGATAGGCCTAGGCTAATTACTGTATTTGGAGTTTTGCTTGCATCTAGGAATAGAGTGCATCGCACTGTGGTGATTTCCATGAGGCTCCTTGAGTAATAATAATAATAATAGTTGGACTTGTAGAGCGCATCATGCGAAAAAGCCTCTATGCGCTAGGTGATTGAGCTCTTTGATTTGGACTTTTGAGAAAAAAGAAAGTTGAAGTTATTTTATGAAACTAAAAAACCTACTCCTTAAACTAAGGCCTGTCTCTTATACACATCTAGATGTGTATAAGATTGTTCAGCTGTTTTTTTTCGTGCTGCTGGGTGTCCATCCACCCTCCCATTTGGCGGCCGCTAAAGACCACCAGATGGGGTTGTCGGAATTAGTCGCCGACGACTCGACCGGATGCAGTTTATAACGTATTACTTACCGTTCTTTTCTTCAGTAAAACCAGGTAAAACAGACACTAAGCAGTATGGTAGAGAGCCCCTCGTCACTTGATAAAACAAAAATTAGCATGCTAGCAGTAAAAATTATAAAATCAACATTACTATACTAGGCTACCTAGGCCTATATACAGAACAGGCCTACCTTACTTATATACACTCAACAATCAATTGAATCAAATAAGTCAGACAGTCACTCTTGATTTAATTAGATAAAATCATGCTTCTTGTAGAAAAGTTCAGCCAAAAGCTAGGCCTATGCCTTGGTGGTAAGCCTTTACTCCTTAGTTAGAATAGCCGGAGACTACACCGTCCAGTAGTACAGTTAGTAGTAGGCCTACCTAGCCTACGGGCTAGGCTACCTACCGCCATATGATAGAAAGGCCTACCCTAACTGTCTGTACTGTTTGTTGTGCATTTTATTTACACAGAAATTACCTTCAGTATAAAAATTCGTAAATATTTCATGTATCTTGTCTAAAGTTGGCTGGTTTGTATTACATTTTTTCTTTGCTTCTTCGCCATTAAATTAAGAAAACAAGATATCGACACGAAAAAAACATAAAAATACAGTACGTGTTGCTTGATTGATTGATGTGTCGTCACGTCATCACCACTACCGCCATCACATCTAGCACAAGTTCGATTGTAGATGGCGCTACAGAAAACAGAATACTGCAGAATACCGGTATGGTAGCCTTCGCACAGTGGGCAAGGACGAAATCAAAGTGTGCCGAAAGTCCATTTTGGTGACTATGGCTTTTACACTTTTTTTCACATGATTGAATATGGGCTGTCTCTTATACACATCTAGATGTGTATAAGAGACAGATATAGCGCATAATTGAGTTAGTATAAATCTACTTCATAAGATTATCGGTGAGTGTAATAATTTATTATTATATATTTATTATATCAAGTGTTTCTAGACCTTTTTGGAAATTAGGCTAATTATTAAATAGGCCTAATGAAAAAAAAAACCTGGCCTACAAAATGTATGCAGTCTACACCCTGTCTCTTATACACATCTTGTCCCCTTCCCCTTTGAAAATGTCAAATTTTTAGCTAAAAATAGGAAATTTTGAAGTAATTCGTATATAACTCGCACAGGTTGTTGTTCAAGTGGATCTTCTTCCGCTCAAACTAGCCTCCGCTCGAAAAAAATTCCTCTCGAATTGGCCTTCGCTCGAAGTGGTATCCGCTCGAATTGACTAGTTCTCGTACCGGATATGCCAGTCTGCAACAAGCATCGCCTAAATGTAATAATTAGCACGCTGAAATAGGCTAGTAAATAAGTTTAACTGGGTTCGTAAATAATATTAGCCTCAAAATATTGTGGCTGGGACATGGGCCGATTAAACGTAGAAATAGGAAACCTAGAAATATAGTAAAAACGCTGAATAGTAATACACCAGCGTCGCGACATGCGACGTTGGTACGAGTAGGTTAGTCTACAAACGTCGCCTAAAGTAAAGTAATTGATTTTACCCGGCAGAACGAAACTCCGCTTTTCAGTCGTCTTAGGCACCTGTTTTTTGACAAACAATGACCTTTCAGAGGTCAAATTGCTGTCAAGAATATGAATTGGCTGCTTCGCAGCAATCAACATTACTATACTACCTAGGCCTATATACAGAACAGGCTTACCTTACTTATATACACTCAACAATCAATTGAATCAAATAAGTCAGACAGTCACTCTTGATTCAATTAGATAAAATCATGCTTCTTGTAGAAAAGTTCAGCCAATAGCTAGGCCCTACCTTAGTAGTCCTTAGTTTTAAGCTAGGCCTATGCCTTGGTGGTAAGCCTTTACTCCTTAGTTAGAATAGCCGGAGACTACACCGTCCAGTTAGTAGTAGGCCTACCTAGCCTACGGGCTAGGCTACCGCCATATGATAGAAAGGCCTACCCTAACTGTCTGTACTGTTTGTTGTGCATTTTATTTACACAGAAATTACCTTCAGTATAAAAATTCGTAAATATTTCATGTATCTTGTCTAAAGTTGGCTGGTTTGTATTACATTTTTTCTTTGCTTCTTCGCCATTAAATTAAGAAAACAAGATATCGACACGAAAAAAACATTGCCTAAAAATACAGTACGTGTTGCTTGATTGATTGATGTGTCGTCACGTCATCACCACTACCGCCATCACATCTAGCACAAGTTCGATTGTAGATGGCGCTACAGAAAACAGAATACTGCAGAATACCGGTATGGTAGCCTTCGCACAGTGGGCCAGGACGAAATCAAAGTGTGCCAAAAGTCCATTTTGGTGACTATGGCTTTTACACTTTTTTTCACATGATTGAATATGGGTATACCCTGGTGAATCTATCCTGAAAATATTTTACATTTAAACGAATTTTAAGGGTAGTATTTTTCAACAAATGTCGGAAATTTCTCTATAAATATTTCAAATGCTATAATTGACTACATTATATCAAAACACGTGTTTTTTTTTCTTACAGAAAATTCTGAATTTTCAAAATGCACAGGTTTCTTGTATATAAATTGGGGAACACAAATATATGTTTTGGTTTAAATTTGAAGTTTGCATCAATAATAAATCGTTGTTTAAACAACAGAAAAAATATTTAAAAATCTATTTTTAGAAAAGTAGGAGAGAAAGTTTAGATTCGTGTGGATTCATGCTTTAATTTTTACATCACCATCTTCAGTATAGCCTTAGCTTTATGATGGTACC